TTATAAGGATGGTGGTAGTGACAACTGCCTGTAAACATGATGGTAGCCCTGGATAGACACAGTCCAGTTTGGGATTCTAGTAACCAATGGGTAAATTATTACCTCCATGTGGTTGACTTCAGACTTTCAAAGCACTCCCCTCTTGCTCATGAAAGGAAAAAGGGAGGTATAAATAGAGTGGCCCAAATTGGAAGGGGGGGAGTGCTGTGTTGGGCAGAGGGCAGCTTATCGTTCAAAGACTTAAAGTCCTGTTCACCATCAGTAGTCCAGGTAAGGGGGTCAGGAGAAGAGAACTTAATCAGGGTATGTAAAGGTTATGCCAGTCAAGAAAAATTAGTGTTATAAGCTCTGCAATAGTCCCTACATCCTAGAAATCTCCTAAGTTTTATCTTTTCATAGTGAGAATGGGTAAGAAAATTACGCCCTGAAGGCAGAAAGGGTTGATGTTGAGTCCAAAGGGGTCAGCAAATATCCAAGAGATTTAACTGAGTCTCAGCAAAACTGTAGTTTATCTTTAGAATCCTTATGCCCTTTAAGACATAGCTGGTAAAGTAAATGAGTATCAGTGAGACAGGTATTTCATAAGGGAGAACATAAAAGCAAATCACCAATGTATTACAATAGACTTAAGATATGCGAAACGGTTGTGTCTTTTAAGTCAGCCTGTAAGATCTGGGAAAAGTAGGTAGGGCTTTCGGTGCATCCTTGGGGGTGCACCGTTCAGGTGAACTGTTGGCCCTTCCATGTGAAGCCAAAAAGAGATGGACTCTCAAGGTCAACAGGGATGCTGTAAAAAAGTACTATAGAGATCAACAGCAGAAAAATATTGGGTGTTAGGATGTATGCTGGATAAGAGCGTATGTAGAACAGGCAAGACAGAATGCATGGGAATAAAACTTTGTGAATAGCTCTAAGATCCTGGTCAAGTCTCCATCCGTTTCCATTAGGCTTAAAGACAGGTAGAAGGGGTATGTTACAGGGACTGGTACAAGGGACTATAAGTTCCTTGAAAATTAAGTTATTGACAGTAGGTTCTATACCAGCTAAAGTGTCAGGGTGGAGGGGATATTACTTTACGTTTAGTAGAAGTTTGTTAGTATCTCTTTGTGTAGAAATGGGTGGTGCTGATTGGATCGGGCTGACATCGGTATTGATTTATTCCCAAAGGGCTTCAAACAGTGTCTTTAGAGTCTGATGTACAGGATCAACTGGATGGCTGGAGACTAACATGGGGAATGCATGGCTGAGGTCAGAGGCTGGCGTCAGGCAAGGAGACCTTTAAAACAATGACTCCCTTAGGGGAAAAAAACAAAAACAAAAAAAACTCAGTGTTTTTCAAGAAAGTCCCTTCCTATTATACATATTGGGGCAAAAGGAACAAGTAAACAGCTGCAATGCCAGTAAGAGGCCCTATTTAGTAAGAAACTAGTTCAGACTTGAAGATAGTCATGGATTGGTTAGTGACTCAACCATTTGAGTAGCTTGGTCACTCTGGGTGGCTGGATTTTAAAAGGAGACAAGGTTAAGCATAGATGCAGTGTCTATTAGAGCTTGGACTATTTTGTGTTAATTTTTAAGATAAATCTTTCCCAGTTTATTCACTGAAAGGAGAAAAAAATCCACCATGTTTTCCGGGAGTACTTCTAGTTCTGATCAATAAGTATTTTCTTACTGTTTCTGCAGAAGGGGACTTCTTTACCTTATTGGAGTCCTTCTGAAGCCCTCATTTACATTTTTTGCAGTCTCATTTCAAATGGCCAGAAAAAGCAAATTATACCTTTTGCAGCAGATGAAGTTGATTTCTTCCTATTATATGGAGTTTGCTGATACGGGAGAGACTTCATAAGTTGTTGAATGTGCAAGGCCATGAGTTTCTCAGTCTTTCTTGCCATTATAGTGTTTGGTGGCTTTAGCCTCTTTTTTCTTTTCTAGGATTTTAGAGAGGTGATTGGCCAAAGAATTTTTATCATAGGGTTTCTTAGAAGGCCAATTGCAATCATACTGCTTAACCAGGGTGCTAAGGGCTTTAACTTACTTGAGGGAAAGTGAGTTAAAAATATTTATAATATCGTCAGTTAGATCTTTGATACCAGCATTTTGTAGAAAGCCCTTTGAATCAGCTGGGCGTGGTGGCTCATGCCTGTAATCCCAGCACTTTGGGATGCCGAAGTGGACAGATCACCTGAGATCAGGAGTTCCAGACCAGCCTGGCCAACATGGTGAAACCCAGTCTCTACTAAAAAATACAAAAAAAAAAAAATTAGCCAGGCATGGTGGTGGGCACCTGTAATCTCAGCTGTTAAGGAGGCTGAGGCTGGAGAACTGCTTGAACCCAGGAGGCAAAGGTTACAGTGAGCCTTTGTGTGCAGTCTCTCTCTAAGTTGCCTGAGACTGGCTTGAAGTTCGTGAATGTCTATCAGTAAAGAATGTTTATAAGACCAGTCTTCCATCCAGTTGGAGTTGTGGCAGGACCACAAGGTGCAGGAGAGGATTGTCAGCTGGCATACAATTAACTATACAAGAATACAGGACTACCCCTTTATTTTGCTAGCTATGGTATTCTGCTTTCTGGTGTGTCTCATTTTAGCCACAAGGAGTCCACTTCGGAGGACTGCCAATATGGTCTGTTGGGGATACTTTAAGAGCCTGTAAGATCAACACGAGTTATTTACTTACAAGCATAGCATACACATTCCCATTTTGAAAAGGAGAAATAGACAAGAAGCAGTAGGTAACAGGCCTCAAGCAAGTCTGAAACCCAGGAGAGCCAATGATGGGCATTCAGACTACTGAATAATTTTCTTTGATGACATGTCCTGCATTCTCTACAAACAGGTACAGTGGGCTCCAGGGCATCAGTTAGCCCCATCCGTATGGTTTGACTGGTCTTAGTCAAGACAGCACTACCAAGCTGGCCTTGCATGGGGGTTGCTGCATAGTTCTGGGGTCTCTGTACTGTCACAGTTCCACTAGGCACTGCTCTGGGGGACTCTGTGGTGGCTTTGCCCTTGCAACAAGTCTCTGCTGGGCCTCCAGGCTTTTAAGGACATCCTTTGAAATCTGAGTGGGAGCTGCCAGGTTTCTACAGTTCTTACTTTCTGCAAGCCTGAAGAATTAGCACCATGTGGATGCCGGCCACCAGGGTTAATGACTTGTACCATTTGGAGTTGTGGTAGGAGCTGTACCTATGGCCGTTTTAGCTGAGGCTGTGGTGGCTGCAGGGCATTGTGCAGCAGGGCCAGGAGCAGCATCCTGAGGTGGAATTGGTCAGTGAGCTCATGGAGACTAAGTCAGTGAGCTCATGGTCTTATCCTCTGTAGCCATTCAGCCCTCCTAGGCTTCTGGACCTCAGAGCAATCTGATAGGCCTTTGGGGTCTTTCTTTCATTGCTTGAGAAACAGCACTTGGCTTTTGTATTAGTCCATTCTCTCAATGCTATAAAGAAATACTTGATACTGAGTAATTTATATGAAAGAATAGAGATTTAATTGGTTTATTGATCTACTGGCTCTATAGGAAGCATGGCTAGGGGAGGCCTCAGGAAATTTCCAATTATATCAGAAGGTGGAGGGGAAGTAGACATATCTCACATGGCTGGAGAAGGAGGAAGAGAGAGAGAAGGAAGAGGTGCTACAAACTTTTAAACAACCAAATCTTGTGAGAACTCTATCACAAAAACAGCTCCAAAAAAGGGAGTGGTGTCAAACCATGAGAAACCACCCCTATGATTCGATCACCTCCCCCTGGACCCCACCTCCAACATTGGGGATTATAATTTGACATTGTAGGAGAATTGGGCAGGAACAGTGATCCTAACCATATCAGCTTTCTTCTATCTTTGTTAATCTCTTAAGCAAAGATGTTCTTGAGCTTAGTTTTCGCTCCTGTAAATGCACTTTCCTTCCTTATTACGTTGCCAAGTTATGAACTTTTCAAGGTTTTCTGCCCTATTTCCCTTTTCTCTAGCAGTTTACAATAAGAAATTAGAAGCAACCACACAACATTCTGAGCACTTCGCTATGTAAAATTCCTTCTGCCAGATATCCTAGTTCATCACTCTTAAGTTTGGCCTTCTCCAAACCCCGCAGACATGGTCATAGTTCAGCCAAGTGGTCATAGTTCTTGGCCAGTTTATAGCAAGGATGGCCCTTCACTCCAGCTTCCAAAACCTTGTTCTTTAGTTTTATTTTAACCTAATGAGAATGACTTTTGCCATCTATATTTGTATCAGCATTGTGGTTATGAACATTTATCTAATCTCTAAGAAGTTCAAAACTTTCCCTCATCTTCTTGTCTTTTACTCCCTAACAAGAATCTATGCTTTTCATTCATATTTATTTATTATTATAAAATCTTCTCTGTCACCCAGGCTAGATTGTAGTGGCCTGATCTCTGCTCACTGCAATCTCCACCCCAACTGGCTCAAGCAATCCTCCCACCTCAGCCTCCCAAGTAGGTGGGACCAAAGGTACACACCACCATGCCTGGCTACTTTTTGGTATTTTTGGCACAAAAGAGGGCTCACCGTGTTGCCCCAGCTGGTCTTGAACTTCTGAGCTTAAGCAATCCACCCGCCTTGGCTTCCCAAAATGTTGTGATTACAAGTGATCCACTGCTCATGGCCGAATCTAGGCTTTTTCTATCCTGCTCCTCCAAACTCAGCCACTCCCCTTAAGAGGACTTGATGATATTGAAAAGTACTTATGGTATAATAAGTAAAAAAAATACAAAAATTTGCATGCATATTTATATAAACAAAAATAATTTTTTTAAAAAATTGCACTAAATTTTTAATAGATCAATTTTAGAAGGAAATTGTGAGCACAGTCACTATCATCTCTTTTTCTTCTTTCAGGGAAAGTATAAGCTTAAATGAATCTGAAAGTCATGGTGTGATTGGAATTAAGTTGGAAACATACCTTACTTTGAAAATAAATAAAAACTATTTATTTGACTAAAATTTGATGGAAAACATTTAAATTTATTGTATTTGCTTTTAGGGATGCAATTTTAAAAAATGCTGTAATCCTAAAGATTGTACTCTGATCAACTTTGCAGAATGTGGCACTGGACCATGCTGTAACAATAAAACTTGTACAGTAAGTTTTATCACTTATTTCTTTTTCTTTTTCTTTTTTTTAAATTTTTTCCCGAGACAGAGTTTCACTCTTGTCGCTCAGGATAGAGTGCAGTGGCGCGGTGTCAGCTCCTTGCAACCTCCACCTCCCAGGTTCAAGCAACTTAGCTGGAATTGCAGGCACACGCCACACCCAGCAAGTTTTTGTATTTTTAGTGCAGATGGTTTCACCATGTTGACCAGCCTGGTCTTGAACTCGTGACCTCAGGTGATCCACCTGCCTCGGCCTCCCAAAATGCTAGAATTACAGGCATGAGCCACCACGACTGGCCTTTATTACCTATTTCTAATGAGTGCTTAGATATTCCTACAGATAATTTTTTAATAAAAACTTTAATATGGATTATGTATTGGTCAGTTGTAAATGGTTGATGAATGTCCAAGCAAAGAAAAATGAATGCAAACTTAAGTGAACATAGAGGTCTGGCTTCATGCTCCAGTGAATGTTTCAAACAGGATTTTTATTCTATGCATCTCTTGGATATCCTTGCTTTTAAGCTGACAGTTCTCAAACAAGTGTTCTCAATATGTAGTATAGATAGGTCATTGACGCTCCTTGTTTGATTTAGTCCATTTCAATTCTGGGTAGTGGAGATAAACCAGACTGAGCCTGACAAATAAATGTATTTGTTTTTCTTTCCCTAACAGATCCATGAAAGAGGTCAGATCTGCAGAAACAGCATAGATATGTGTGATTTTCCAGAATATTGCAATGGAACATCTGAGTTTTGTGTACCTGATGTGAAAGCTGCTAATTTAGAATACTGCAATAATAAGACTAGTTATTGCTTTGAAGGAGTATGCAGAGATAGGGATAAATACTGTGTAAACTTATTTGGAAAATGTAATTGTTTTAACCTTTTTTTCTGGGGTCATGTTTAAACTGTGGATATTCGAAAGTCAGTAACCCACCCAAGAGCCATCCCTGAAAGTGTTGTTTTACATTCAAATTTGGAAATAACGTTGCAAATCAAAACGACTTTGAATGATGTCAAGGGTTAAAATAGACCTAATAGCTACAGGACGCAAGAGTAGGACATTAGTCCAACTTAAGGTGGTTGTTGCAAAGGGAGTAGACTATTAGAATAGTAGACAAAAGAGCAGATAACTGATTTCTTAATTATTTCTACTATAATATGAACTGTTTTGTTCTCATGAGTATAGTTTTCAGTAAGTGCTTCTCCTTGTAAAGCCAGTAGATTACACCAAAAATTTATAGCAGATGACACTGACTGGGCATTATTGTTGTCTAGATGTCTCTCTATTGACTTATCACGTTTACCTTTTAATATTTTTAATGCAAGTAACCATAACTGCTTGTGTTTTCAGTTGCTAAGTCTGCTACTATTCTGTGTACAGAAGAAGTGAATTTTCTAAATGACAAATATGGAAACTGTGGCTCCCGTTGTCATTTTTTGTACGTATTTAGAAAAGTATACATCTTCCAAGTGCATGTGTTGTGTTTTGTGTATGTACTGCAGTTTGGAATAAATGAGAGACAGTATCTAGTATATATGGATAGATTTATTTGTTGCATTTAATAAGACATATGTTGTGAAGAGCTTTGGTGTTATGATCTGTGTAATATTTTGAATTATCCTCACTTTTGAATTGTTATTACTAATGTAATAACATATATTGTGTGCCAAAGTGACAAACAGGTAATTTTTTTCTGTCTTTTGTTGCTAGTCATATCCTTTGTGGAAAGATTGTCTGTCACTGGACACATTCGCAACCAGTATCAGTGAAAGACTATAACATACAATATACTTACCTTGGAGGTCATGTATGTTTCTCAGCACATGCAAGAAATGGTTCAAAGCAAATAACAACCTATACAGAAGATCTAACGATGTGTGGTCAACACAAGGTAAATAAAATTTTTGTTGATACTATATATGATGAATTTGCAAGTGAGCGTCTGAAGTGTGTGTGTGAGAGAGAGAGAGAAAGGCTGAAAGGATGCTTACATTTTCATTTGTAATTAATGCTACAAATTGTGGTTACCATATCGTGATCTTAAGATACACTGACGAGAATTTCTGCTGGTTAAAGAAATTCTTGTTTTATTATTTGTTATTGTTATTAAATTTTTACTACAGATCTTTAAACTTGTTTCCTCTTGCTTGAAAATCTGAGACTCCCTGTGAGGCCAGGATCTGATTTGTGATGATTTGTGTAAACCAAGAACAAAAAAGAATAAAATAATGCAAAAACAAACCAAAAAAAATGTCAGAACAGCCTGAATAACAAGAACTTTAAAGAAGACAAAACCAAGAGAAGCCAAGTATTTAATCATGTAGCGATTGATAAAAAATTAATTTGGTTACAACTGAAATAAAGTAATTATTTTCTCATTAACCTATTGCTCTAATACTTCCCCATAAGCATATTTTGTCTAAAATGTGGCCTTCACATAAAACATGAGAATAAAACATAGCATTTATGTTTTTTTAATTTTTATTTTTCTTAAGAATTTTGAGATGCCTAATAAAGCTTTTCAAACTAGTAGCCCTGAAAAATTAGTTGACTAATTAAAAAGTATATAATTATCACACATTTTTATACAAATAATTTACACATAGAAATATATTTTTAAAATAAAAAATAAGGGATAAATTTAAGTGAAAAGTATACTTATCTCAGAATGGGAAAAAATATTCTCCATAAAAGTAATGAAGTAATCAAGGAAGCATACTGATACTGATTCTGTTGTAAAGTAATATGTCATTCCTTCAAAGACCATTTAAAACAAACTGAAAAAAATATTTATTATGAATACAGGAGCATAAATACTTAAATATATTAACTAACTTTATCTTCTTTTTTCTTTTCTCTTTTTCTTTTTCTTTTCTTTCTTTTTTTTTTTTTTT